GATTCTGGAAGCAAAGCTTTGGAATTTTTGGGTTTGCATGAACAAGATGATCAGAGTGCTGCAGATATTCCCTCTCTTTCCCCAGATAATCATCACCAGGAGGTTGAAGTAAATTTGATCATTACAGATTACTGCATGCCAGGAATGACAGGTTATGATCTCCTCAGAAAGATTAAGGTAAAACACAGGACCCTAAATCTTCATCAAAGCATAGGATTTATATTACAATTACAATCCAAATATTTTAGATCAAAATTTTGCTATCCTCCTGCTCTGCATCCAAATTCGAATCCCCCTAATTTAGATTAAATTAAAATATAGATTGAACAAAAAGAAAATTCTCCCATTTTTAATTTTCCATGATAAAATTTGGTGCATCATATAGTATACAAGAGTATTTGATCTTCATCAAAGTCCTCAGTTTGTATTCAATTGCAAATAAATCTTAATTGTTCCAATTCCTAACGCAATTAGCAGATCCATAGAAGGTGATAGTTTTTCCTCAAAAACCTAATAAAAATTTACTTGATTTGCAGGAATCTAATGTGCTTAAAGACATACCAGTTGTTATTATGTCCTCAGAGAATGAGCCATCAAGGATCAACAGGTAATTAGGAGAATATTTTAATATATCTCCACTGAAAATACACATATCCAATTATTGTACAGTTAATCATTACACACACGCGCGCACACACACACACATATATATATATATACATGTATGTATGTATGCAATTATATATATGATCATGATCTGACATGGTTTGATGGGTTATTATTGATCAGATGCTTGGAGGAAGGAGCAGAAGAGTTTTTTCTTAAACCAGTGCAATTATCCGATGTGAACAAGCTTCGACCTCACATGTTGAAGGGCAGAAGCAGTATGGACATGGAGGACCAACCCAACTTCAACAAGAAAGGGCATGAAACTAACACAATCAGTTGATTCATTGCCAGACAGAACAAGAACAAAATATAATGACTTGGAAGTGATCACTTCATGAGCACTTGATCAATTTTCTCTCTCTTTGGAAGTATCAAGTAGGAATGATGATGGATGGATAGTCAAATATTGATATATGTGCGTCTCACATTACGTGCCACGATGTAGATCAAACGACCCTTGATCTCTATAGTTTTCAATAGACTTCTCTTCTCTACTATTTTTTCTTTTAGATCTGATTGTAAATTAACGAGCAGAAAATATTCATTGAATTTTGTCAGCTATAAAATATTTTACCTTTTTTTTTTTTGTTCTTCTTAGCTTTCCTTGTTATTTTCTTGCTAGTCAAATATGTACGCAATGGAATTTCGTTATGACTTTCTAAAATGAACAGAGGAAAGGCTATTACATCTTTATACGTCAAAAATGGTTAGTTCAAGGGGCTAGAGGGCGGGTAGGGAATTATAAAAATAAGGTTAGCTTAAAGGTTTGAACGTGTTAACCAAATGAAACAAACATGTTCATGGAATCGTATTTGTACAGTAAGATTTCTCTAGTAATACTCAATATACGAATAACTTTTATTTAGTCATATAAAATTACGATCCCATCTTAGACCAATTATTCGTAGAAATGAACTTCATATCGTAATAAGTTATAATTTTTCTTAAGTACATATTAAAATATTTGTCTCCGCATAAGAATAAACTATTGGAAAGGCAAAAGAGGCCAGATTGTGTGCATGTATCTACTATAAAGGGCAGAGTAGTATGGAGATCGACTGTCAATAGTATTCTGTCTTTAGTTCTAATTCTAAGATCCTCATTTTAAATACATGTGAGTACCTCTTTCATACCAACCATTAGATTATAAATGAACTTATCAGCTTAAACCATATCATTTATACTTAATCAAAATCCTAAACTTGAAAAAACTTACGCACGGACTCTTGAGCTTCCAGCGGCAAAGACAAACATCAAATCCCTTCGGAGATCACGATCGTTGAATCCTTTCTCCATCTCAAGCTTTCATTTTTTTTTGGATAAATTACACTTTCATACCTTAGGTTTGGGCTCTATTTCAATTCCTTACAACATTTTCAAAACATTTTACTTTTATACCTTAAGTACTATTTTATTTCAAAATAATATATCTGTTACATTTTCCATCCATAGATCCGTTAAATGCTGATGTGGCTGCCACATATATGCCACGTGGCAAGTAAAATAATTTTTTTTTTCTTCTTCTTCTTCCTCCTCCTTCTTCCTTCTTCTTCTTCTTCTTCTTCTTCTGGGTTGCAGGGGGTTCCTTTTTTTTTTCTCTCTTCTTCTTCTTCTTCCTCCTTCTGGGTTGTAGGGGGTTCGGGTTCCCTTTTTTCTTTTTTTTTCCTTCTTCTTCTGGGTTGTAGGGGGTTCGGGTTCCCTTTTTTCTTTTTTTTTCCTTCTTCTTCTTCTTCCTCCTTCTTCTTCTTCTTCTTCTTCTTCTTCTTCTTCTTCTTCTTCTTCTGAGTTGCAGGGGGTTCGGGTTCCCTTTTTTTTTTCTTCTTCTTCTTCTTCTTCTTCTTCTTCCTCCTCCTTCTTCTTCTTCTTCTTCTTCTGAGTTGCAGGGGATTCGGGTTCCCTTTTTTTCTTCTTCTTCTTCTTCTTCTTGCAGGTTTTTGGGTTCTTTAGGGATGTGGGTCGCTGGGGGGAAGAAGAATGAGGAAGAAGAGAAGAAGAAGAAGGAGGAGAAGGAGGAAGAAGAAGAAAAAAAAAATTCAGGTTTTTTAAAAAAAAATTAAAAATATATTTTACTTGCCACGTGGCAGACATTTGGTAGCCACGTGGTATATATGTGGCAGCCACGTCAGCATTTAACCGATTCATGGATGAAAAATGTAACGGATGTATTATTTTGAAATAAAATAATACTCAAGGTATGAAAGTGAAATGTTTTGAAGATGTTGTAAGGAATTGAAATATGCCCCAAACCTGAGGTATGAAAATGTAATTTACCCTCTTTTCTTTCCTATTAAAAATAAGGGGGCCAACTGGAAAGGATTTTGCGACGTCTTTGTCGCAAAAATTTGAATTCCAAAATTGTTTGAGCAATTTCCAAAACCCCAGCAATCCCAATCTATTTTTGGTGATGTAATTTACAATGTTTGGTTTTGGATATTATTGAATTTGTGGAATTGGGATTGTGTGGATTTGAAAACTGTTGAATTTGTGAATTGGAATATTGTGTGGATTTGAATATTATGCAAAAGGTTTTGAATATCATTCAAGTTTAAGTTTATTTATTCTACAAGCAAATTTGAACCACATTATCGCTAGTCCATCGTGAGTGATAGGTCTTAGGTTCGATTATCTTCAAAGGCGAATTTGAACCACATTATTGCTAACTTATTATGAGGCTAAGTTCATCACCTCCCCTTTGGTGTAGATAATATTGTTTGTTCAAAAAAAAAAGTTTATTTATTCCACTAGGATGACTGGTTAGAACCCAAGAGCTAAAACACCTATGATAAGTTTTTCCCCCGTATATATGAACATCCTCCACTACTGCTTTGGCTTGCTAATTCGTGTAGTTGGGATAGTCTTGATGGAGTAATCACTTGTGTTGTTGGGAAAATCAAATGTGTCGTTTCGGTGGCGTCATTTTTAATTATGGTAACGTTATGTGGATGATGATAAAATATAATTAATTGTTGATTGTATTAAATTAATTGTTTGGGTCCATTAAGACATGATTTTAATTAAATAGGCTTTGAGATTTATTTAAGCAAAAGGGTCCAAGTCATGAGCTCAAAATGGGTAAGTGATTCAGCTTAACGCATGAGATAGGGCAAGTGATTGGGCTTGATGCATTAGATAATGTCCATGATGCCAAAACTCTATGGTCTTTGTGTTTATCACATCCTATGTTTATTCATTTTTGTCCCTTGGAGAAAAGATGGAAAAGTCCTAAGCCAAACACACCTTAGTGTCGCCTAACCTCATTGATCCAAGATGCTAGCAAATTTATATCAATCACTCCACATCCATTACTAGATTTTTCAATGTGGATACTCTTAGATTCTCAACATTTGAAGAGTTTCACGTGATTAATCACGAAGAGAAAGATCACGAGCACAAGGATGATCCAACAAAACAGCACGTTCATGGTTAAAGATTCTAGTCAATCTCTTAATCTTTGTTCATTATCGCGAAAATTACAACCAACCATAATATAATTGGGATAACGTATTGTATATTATTTATTTGTTTTCCGTTGCTTATTTCATTATCCGATTAAATTTTGTCCCAATATCTATTGTACTTTTAGGTTAGGCAAACAAGAAAGTTTATAAGTTCTAGAAAATAAAATTCTTAATAATCTTAAATTTCAACTTCCAACATTTAAATACATAAAAAGTAAAGGTTTGTAAGTAAGTACTTTTTAAATGATTGAAAGTATTTTTGATGAAAGTGTTTTTTGATTCCAAAAACACTTAAGTGTATTTTGAAAGAAGAATCAATTATATGCTAATTCAAGTGTTTTTTCATGATTCACTTGACGTTTTACTAAAGATTGATAATTATCCCAAAAAGAGAGCAATTGTAAATACATTTTCATCAAAAACGTTTTGAGTCATTTTAAAAGCAGTTCTAAACACAATAAAATAACAAGAAAAGAAAAAATGCCTAATCGGATAAATGGTCCCCGTGGTCATAAGGTATTCGGAAGATAGCCTATGTGGTAAAAAAAATTCGAATTTAAACCCCTGTGGTCTAAGTCTATTAGAATTTATGTCCGAAATTAGAACTTTTGTCATTCCTCTGCTAGTAGCTTGCAGGTGGGTCTCACGAGTAAGACTAATGATAGAAGTTCTAATTTTGGGTATAAATCATAACAGACTTAGACCACAGGAGTTTAAATCCGATTTTTTTTACCACACAAAGGCTATCTTTTGAAGCATTTATCTGATTAAAACTAGTGTTCCCCCTTGTTCCATTCAATCGTGGCAATTGGTCAATGGCGTCAGTAGTTGACTTCCCAGCTACAAACATCAAAATATAAATTGAAAAAAAAGGCAGGCAAACGGCACAGTTCAGTCTCCCACCGGATCAATCAATCACTTTCGACACCTCCACTCACTCAGATTCTCTGCTCTCTCTCTACTCTCTCTCACTATTTTCCCCCGCTTTTTCGGTCCCTTTCCTTTTCCGCACAGCCCGAGTTAATCTCCGATACAAACACTGTGCCTCGAAGTAAACGACGCCGAGAACCTTGGAAATCACCACCACTGCAACCACCATTTTTGGCCGCATTGCCTCGTCGTTTAGGGACAAACTCGGTGCTTTTCCGTCGCCATTGTTGTTATTCGTCCTCTTCTCCGAGCTCGATTCCGAGCTGCCTCGAATTCGGAAGTGAACGAACTTCAATCCGAATCACTGATCTCCGTCGAGAAGTTCAATCGACGGCTCTGATTGAGTCTCTGGCGAGGGAGAGGGCGAGAGACCTGGAGTTGCGGAAGGAGGCAATGGGAGGTGCAGTGGTGGCGATGGAGGTTAGGGTTTCGGAAGGGAAAGGGAGATTGAGTCGTTGATGCTGCGTATGGACAGGATGACTGCGGATCAGGCAAAGGCGGGCCCACTCGAAAGGGACATTGACTTGGTGAAGTTTCATTCACTTTGGAATTTTAATTTAATTTAGTTTTTTTCATTGAATTTCTTGTTTTTATTAAGTTGAAAGTGCAGTTGATGAATGGATTAGAAGCGTCGTTAATGATTAGTTTTGGTTCATTTTTAATTTAATTCGTATTTTTATGGTTTTGATAGTTCTTTTGTTATTAAAATTTGCCAGCTCTTATAGTTTGAAAGATTGGCTGTGTCGATGAGAAATGCAATACGAAGAAACATAAATATGACTGATATTTATAGTTACCGAATCAGCTGTTATTCCGCAGCATAATCTCAAGCCGCATTTGTTGTTGGATTGACTTGGTGAATATGTAAGGAGTTGTGTATGCACTTGGGAGACAACTCACTGTTTGTGTCTACATTGCCGTTTACATGGATTGTGGTATGAATTATTTCCCATGGATATGCGCACATGTTTGTGTGTGTGTGTGTGCGCGCACTTGGAAAAAATGGGAAAGAATGAAACTTGATGAATAGCTGTTTCATATGCCTCAAAACACAGATGTTCTAATAGAAGTGACGTCATAAGTTTTTCAAATAGACGTAGCAACATTCATACATTTAGTTGGATGTTATTGCAACTAACAGTGTGCTGTTTTTTAATCCCCACTGATTCATCTTGTTCTGCAGTGCTATTAATATCATTCTTTTCCCTTCTTTTCCGTACAGTTATCAGTTTGGAGAAAATATGTAGTTTAATCTAATTCATGTTCTGTGCTCATTTCAAAGCAGGCCATCACTTCTCTGAAAAAAGGGGCACAATTGCTCAAGTATGGACGCAGAGGAAAACCCAAATTTTGTCCTTTCAGGCTTTCCAATGTATGTCCAATTGTATTTGAAGAGCAATATACATTCTTATATTGGTTTTTGCATTTTTTTATTCTAAATGCTTAGTGTTCTTTCTTGGAGTTTTCAAATGTGAATCTGAGTTCTTAAGAATGATTTGTCTTGCATTCATGCTTGTGCATAATGATTATCTATTTCTTGCTTCACTTAGTTCATGTTAGGTCTTGAAGGTATGTCAAAGGGGATTTGCAGTGAAGTATTTGATGGCTTTACAGTGTCTTAGAATTTTATATATGGCAATATCTCTAGTTATATTTTTGGCATGTTATGCAGCCAGACTGTGAATTAGGCCTGCACATGCACATATACTTCTACCTCACCAATGGTCCAGATTGATAGTCTAGCAAGAAAAAATTACTTGGTAAGAGTAAGGTAGGCCGGGCATAGTAAGTGAAGCGAAATATATACAATGTCTGTATGCCATAGGTATTGTCTTTTTGATATTCCAGAACAATTTGGTAAGAAGGGTTTAGACAGTGTGGAACATACTCTTCATATTGCTTGGTGTTCACATTGTACTACATCTGCTATGTGGTGCTTGTTTTAGTTGAATATAGGATCAGCATACTAGTAATAAGTTTTGGATGCTTGCTCATGTCTATATCTAGCCTTCTTGATGTTGGAGTAAATTCTTCATCTGAAGTTCTATTGTTACACAGCCTTACAGCACTATTATTCCTTTTAGGCTTTTTATCCAAAATGGTCCCTGAGATTTGCATAACTCCTCATTTTGAGATTTTAAATCAATAGAATTGGTCCCTGAGTTTGTCCCCATCAATCATGTTGGTCCTTCCGTGAAAAATCTAGATTAAATAAGGATAAAATAACAAAAATACCCTCAACTCAGGGACTAAAAAGCCTTCCTTTTATGATATTTTTGTTAAGTTTTATGAGATCTAATAACACGATATGTATGAGTCATTTATCGCAGTTTCTAGTGATGTACTGAGCAAAGAAATCTTGCCATCAATTTCCTCTTTTTACTTGGATTTTGAATGTTATTCCATGTTGCTTCTTTCAGGATGAATCTGTTCTAATATGGTACTCAGGAAAAGAGGAGAAATATCTTAAACTAAGCCAAGTCTCGAGAATTGTACCTGGTCAGCGCACTGTAAGTTCCTCATGTTCTGATCTTCTACACCTCTTCAATGGTGAATACTTCAATAATATGACAAGAACATACAAATAATATATATCTGTTATTTTTAGCGCCTGTAGATTTATCTTTAGTTCTTTCTAGAACTATATTTCCTCCGGATTATATCGTGGTCCCTATAGATTTTTATTCTTGTATTGCTTGTTTAATTCCCTTTGTCATTTATTTCTCAGTTATGAATGTAACTGAACATCCTGTAATTTGATATTACTGCAGCAAACCTTTCAGAGGTATCCTCGGCCTGAAAAGGAATATCAGTCATTTTCTCTTATATGTGATGATAGGTCTTTGGATTTGGTAAGCATCTTCTTCGTTGTTGATTTCTGCTGTATCCGATTCTTAAATTTTTTTTTCTCCATGCTCAACTATTCTTCTCCTTTTATGGTAGAGGACGTATTGTTGTCTAATCATTTATAAATTTTACATTGTAATAGTTTATTTTCATGACTTTCTTTTCTCTTTTCCAATCCATTTACTTCTTTATGTTTACCCTGTGTGCTCTTCCATAAATTTCATTTACTTATTTTTTTAATTTACTTGCTTATGCCAGATATGCAAGGATAAAGATGAAGCTGAAGTTTGGTTTACTGGTCTAAAAGCATTAATATCACGTGGCCTTCATCAGAAGGGAAGACCAGAATCAAGAAGTGGAATTACATCTGAGGCAAACAGTCCGAGATCACACACCCAACAAAGTTCTCCATTGAGCTCTCCATTTTGTAGTGGTGATAGTTCGCAGAAGGTGATCTATTTTTGTCTCTTCTGTTATTGCCGTGCCTAAACTGTAACATAGAAGTAAATAATCTTCTTGTCACTGCTGCAGGATGGCGTGGAACCGTTTCATCTTCATGCTGCATTTGAAAGCCCTCCTAAAATTGGTTTAGAGAAGGCTTTATCGGATGTCATGTTATATGCCCTGCCTCCAAAAATCCCCTTCCCTTCAGATGCTGCTTGTGGCTCTGTTCCGTCCCCGGGAGGCTCAGATGGAATGAATGGACGAACAAAGGGTGCAGGTGTGGATGCGTTTAGAGTAAGTTTATCAAGTGCTGTTAGCTCATCAAGTCAAGGCTCTGGTCATGATGAAGTTGATGCTTTAGGGGATGTTTTCATTTGGGGGGAAGGCGTTGGTGATTGCTTTCTGGGTGGAGGATCACATAGAGTTGAAAGTTCTTCTAGTTGTAAGATGGATTCTTTTGTGCCTAAAGTCTTGGAATCTGCTGTAGTACTTGATGTTCAAAGCATAGCTTGTGGTGGACAGCATGCTGCTTTCGTAACCAAACAAGGAGAGGTATTTTCTTGGGGTGCAGAATTAGGAGGCAGACTTGGACATGGTGTGGATGCTGATGTTTCACATCCAAAACTGATAGATGCTCTGAAAAATATGAATATTGAATTTTTAGCATGTGGGGAATACCATTCTTGTGCTGTCACACTTTCCGGCGACATGTACACATGGGGTGGCAGTACTTCCAATTTTGCGCTCCTTGGTCATGGGTTTCAATCAAGTCAATGGGTCCCAAAAAAGCTAAATGGACCTTTAGAGGGAATTCATGTCTCATCAGTTTCATGTGGACCGTGGCACACAGCTGTTGTGACCTCTGCTGGGCAATTGTTTACTTTTGGGGATGGCACATTTGGTGTTCTAGGTCATGGGGACCGAAAGAGCATTTCAGTGCCCAGGGAGGTTGATTCCCTTAAAGGTCTCCGTACTGTGCGAGTAGCTTGTGGTGTTTGGCACACTGCAGCAGTAATTGAAGTTATGGTGGGGTCATCAAGTTCCAGCAATTGCTCTTCTGGAAAGCTTTTTACATGGGGAGATGGAGATAAAGGTCGACTTGGACATGGTGACAAGGAAGCAAGACTTGTGCCCACTTGTGTTGCTTCTTTGGTTGAACCCAACTTTTGTAAAGTTGCCTGTGGACAAAGCCTGACTGTTGCACTTACAACTACGGGCCATGTTTACACCATGGGAAGCCCTGTTTTGGTCAATTAGGGGTCCCTAAAGCTGACGGGAAACTTCCAAGACGTGTTGAGGGAAAGCTAATGAAGAGTTTTGTTGAAGAAATTGCTTGTGGTGCTAATCATGTTGCAGTTTTAACTTCAAGAACTGAGGTTTACACTTGGGGAAAGGGTGCAAATGGTCGATTAGGTCTTGGGGATACAGAAGATAAATTTTCACCAACATTAGTTGAAGCTTTAAAAGATAAACAAGTCAAGAGTATTGTCTGTGGCACTAACTTTACTGCTGCTATCTGTCTTCACAAATGGCTCTCTGTTATTGATCAGTCAATGTGTTCTGGCTGTCGCCTTCCATTTAATTTTAAAAGAAAAAGACACAATTGTTATAATTGTGGACTTGTGTTATGCCATTCATGCAGCAGCAAAAAGTGTCTCAAGGCTTCCATGGCACCAAACCCAAACAAACCTTATCGTGTCTGTGATAATTGTTTTGCAAAACTTCGGAAAGCCACTGAAACCAACTCTTCATCTGGGTCTGCTATTAGTAGAAGAGGAAGTATGAATCAGGGATTCAACGAACTGATTCAAAACAATTTTATAGAAATGGAAAGTGGATCTTCCAAAAGAAACAAGAAAATGGATTTCAGCAGCAATTGTGTTATTCCCATAGCAAATGGAGTTTCTGAGCGTCGAGCACTCAATGGGACTAGATCCTTCAACCCAGTTTTTGGATCATCCAAAAAGTTCTTCTCAGCTTCGCTTCCTGGCTCCAGAATTGCATCTCGAGCAACATCACCAACATTGAGACGGTCTAGTCCACCTCGTTCCACAACACCAACCCCAGCTCTTTCGGGGCTTACTCTTCCAAAAGTTGGGGATGATGCTAAAAGGAAAAATGTCAGTCTGAGTGAAGAAGTTCTAAAATTAAAAGCTCAGGTATGTTGCTTGTCTTTTTTTGGTTGTCAATAACTGAAAATTAACTTTTCTGTTCAATGTCTAGTTTTCCCTGCATTTCAGTCAAAGCAAATTTACTTCCTCCTGAGGATAACTTGTCTTTCTGTTTGAGTAACAATTTGATTTTGTGTTCAACTCTGGGATGATATCTCACTGTCTAAGAGGGAGAAGGATTGCTAGATGTCGATGGCATTTTCTCTACTTTGTATGTCAGTACTTTGTATATAATAATTTTAGGGCGATGAGCAGCAATGAGATATTCTCTTATGTTTTCTTCCAGTTATCTCCTTCATTCTACTTTACCATGGTGATTACCTTTTTATTCTGTTTTTCTTGCATTCACTGTGCAAAATTACATGGATGAGGTTCTGACTTTGTTCTTTCAACTAATCGATCTTATGGCGTAGGTTGAAGATCTTACTCGTAAAGCTCAACTTCGAGAAATTGAGATGGAAAAAACTGGCCAACAGTTGAAGGAGGCTCTGAAAGTAGCAGGGGAAGAAACCGTTAAATGCAAAGCAGCAAAGGAAGTAATTAAGTCGCTCACAGCCCAAGTAGGTTTATTCTCATGTTTATAGTGAGTATGCATTCTGCATTTAAACAGTTGAGTGTTTGCAATAAAGATTGTGGTCAGTTTGATTTTTCAAGCGCATGCACTAATTTATCTGGATATTAACATACCGTGGGAAATGCAGAAGAAAAGAAAATAATGATGAAGTCAATGCGTTTTTCGTATCAGTGAGGATGTATGGAACTTCGTAACTTTAAACAGGAACCTTATTTAGGTGCTATGTGCATATGATCAAGTTTACAATTCTTAATCAATAATATGGAGATAATGATAAACAGCCAATAGATATATAACTATCAATTTATACTTTTAAGTTTATTTAGCTCCTCGGTATATTATCCTATTTAGGACTGTCATACTAAAATTTCAGTTTTGAGGGTTATGTGCGTAATATGGAAATATAAATGTAGGATCGGTAATGGAAGTTAGAATTATTATGTCGGTTGCAATTCTTCTATTGAATGCAATCTGAATTAATACCTTGTTTCATTTATGTTAGTTAAAGGAAATGGCTGAAAGGTTACCAATTGGAACAGCAAGAAACATGGATACTCGTCCATTAGACTCTTCCAGTCCCACTCGTGAAGTTTCTACTACAGCCGTTGAGAAAACAAGCAGTACATTGAATTTCTCAGAACCATATTCAATTGTATCGAGCAGTGAGATAATTTCTGATGTGCCACAGGCCACTTCGAATCACACTGAAGTGGCACATTCAGAAGCAACAGCTAGGCATAAAAACAGAGGAGCAAAAGCTGAAACAGCACAAGGGGATGAATGGGTTGAGCAAGATGAGCCTGGTGTATATATTACCCTAGTTTCCTTGCCTGGAGGTGTCAAAGATCTCAAGCGTGTTCGCTTCAGGTATGCCCCTTTTTCCCGATTACTTCATGCAACCCAAATTTGATCGAAAATAAATGTGTTTGTGTTTTCCAGTGTGGATTGAACGTTGATATGTATTTCAATCACATGTCAGTGTTAATTCTTCGTTTATTTTCCTCTTCCTAATAGTAACGTCAAGGGATTGTATATTTTATGTCCTTTGCTTACAAGGCCCGTGTCTTCCAAACTATATTTTTAGTACACTTTCAATCATATTTAATTGACGATGACTAACTTTCAATTGCCTCAATTCTGTCAGTCGAAAGCGGTTCAGCGAGAAACAAGCAGAGCAGTGGTGGGCGGCAAATAAGGGTAGAGTATATCAGCAGTACAATGTTCCGGTGGTTGAAAAATCCAGTATTCCGACGGGGAGAGAAGGGTTAGCTCATTGAGCTGCTAATATCAGTCAGGACACAAGTGGAGAGAAGGGTTTTTACCCTCATTGACCCTTCATTTTTTCATTTTAAGGAGGTAAATGTGGTAATTTCCTCTCCTCTTCCCGTAAATTTTGGTTTTATCCTTCTCGTTTTTTTTCCCTTGAGAATGTTGTAAACACGAAAATCCTGTAGCAAATGAAGCAGCTGAAATTTACATGTCTACAAATGTATCGTCAGACGACTCATCGGAGATATTTGTTTTTCGGAGGGGAAATGGTAAGAGCAGGTCAGTCGGGCTTATGTAAATTCTTTGTAAGTAGGTTGGTTTCTGGATTCAAATTCCGAAATAACTTTCCTTGTAAATCCTTCACTCGACAACTATTTACATAAAAAGCTCAAAAAAATTCAAATGAAGTTGAACAGGTTTCAGCAATCTTTCTTGTGTCCGGTTACAGTGAATTGAAACGAAGGAATTTTCTGATCGCCGGTTCAGGTGTTTGCATCTCCTCCATCATCAAACTATCGCAGTTGCTTAGTCTTTATGTTCATATAATTTGGTTTTTGATAGGTGACGCCACTAAAATTATGAATTTATTACAAGCGAATCACTTCTTTGCGTGCCATAAATTGCCTCGATATGCCGATACGCCAATTCAGGAAAGAAAGAGAAAAAAGTAATTGGCAACAATTATTAGAAATAAATTCACTTTTTCTGGGACATATTAATGGTGCAAGGCTCAAAAGTCAAAACGGACCATGTGTTCTAGTTATTAGGTTAATTTAAAATTTAAGTTTTATTTCTTTTTTAGATCTAATCACATTTGTTAATAAAAATAAATAAAAAACATAGGAAGAATAAACAACCACCCACAACGCACAACGTGGGTTTGAAGATACATTTAAAACATATAAAATCATCATATTGTTCCTATGTTGTATGGGTAGTTGTTCATTGTTCTTCTCCATCAAAGCGAGAGCATTGTAGGAAATATTGAAAGCTTCACTATTTTTACCTTCTCACTTTATATATATATATATATATATATATATATATATATATACGTGTTATTTTTTATTGATTTTTATTTTTCTATAAATTTTGATTTAGGTAAAGGAGAAAAGGGAATATATGGCTTTCTCAACTACGGTCAATTTTTCGATTACATAGTCAAAGGTGGGGTGGTCAATATTAATTTTCTCGAGACTATAATGATGGAACTGGCGTGGTGACAAGTGAAGTCGAGGTGGATATGGAGACGCTTTCGCCGAGTTTCCTGTGTGTGGGTATGGTTGGGTTTTGGGTCAAGGTTGATGACAGGTGGGTTTTTTTTTTTTTTTTTTTTTTTTAAGGTGATTTTGAAATTATATTTCTTCCTATTTTATTTGAAAAAATATTTTTAACAGAAATTAGATACAATGTTCTTAATTGGCTTGCGAAGATAAACACGGAGTCTAAATTGGCCAAATTAACAACACGAAGGCTAAATTGACCGAATGGGTATAACACATGACCATTTTGACATTTAAGCCATGATACAATGCTACAATTGAGAAATAAATACATATATACTTTATATATACACACAATGACAGGATGCTCCCAAGCCAAGTCTGCAAAGCAACTTGTTACTAAGAGGTCGTGTGCCCACATAACCCGGTCCTAGGATTTGTAGGCCAGTTCAATTTTTGTACTGCTTGAAAAGAAACCAGCGTTGGCAAGACGATACCAGCAAAAATGGTAGTAATTCAAATGCTAAAATGTTATCGATGGCATGTACAAGATGGTCGCATTCCTGCACGCGAAAAAATAAATGTATGAGAAAACCAAAACCTTCAACAAAAGAAAGTGCAAGTACGATTGACGAAAAGGTCATATCCAAATTAACACCCTTAGGCAAAATGAAAAATTAAGTTCGCGTCAAAACTACCCGAATCGAGAGAAATCATGCACCAACCTTTTTACATCTTTGAATTTGTCCGCACAAAGCTAAGATGAGACAGATAATTGCTCTCGGCAAAATCATGTAACGAACGCTGAGTTCGTGCCCCTACAGGTTCAGATTTTCCAGCCTCTTCCTTTAAAAATCTTCTGCACTCATCAGCATCCTGAAGCAACATGAAGGAAAGCATATAACAATAATTCCTAATATTGAAACCTTAGAATTTCAAAAAAGTATAAATAAACTATAGAAACATACATATATTGCAAGAAAGTAGGGGTCATACATGCACATTGCCCACCCAACCATAGAGACAAACAAACACACGACCACAGGGAAAGAGGAGCGATAAAAAGAACAAAAGACGAGAACTGTCACGTTATATAACGAAGTTTCAGTGAATATTTTCCAAAGTTCTTAATTTCAACTGAAACATATATGTGGAATGAAATATACGATATTTTATTTTTTAGGAAATGCAGTAATTTATATACTTATACTCTGACAATCATATAGAGAATTTATCAAACACCTGCTAAATGTTTTTAAAAGATAGCTAGAACACTATGAACTGAAACCACTGGTATGAGTTTACCTGTAAGAACTCCAGCATTTGCTCTTCAATTGTACCACGCATTGCTAGAGTTTCCACGTGTATTGGACGAGTAGCACCCATACGATGAGCACGACTAACAACTTGTTCCTCCATGCTAATGACATTTAAACCAATAATAGAACATATTAATATCATAAGGAAACATAAATTTATTGACCATTGTATTGTAATTTATTGAAGCCACTAATAACAAGAAGCCTTGATCTTTGAAAAACACAGGTTAGAACTGAAAGAGAAAGTTCCTTTCCAAAACAGAGCTGAATTAAGCAGTCAGACTTTTATTTTTATTTTCATATATTTTCGGTTCAAACTAAAAAAAGAAGAGAACATGATAATAGGGATTTAAGAATGATAACCTCCTGTCCCATATTGGTTCCATTAAAAATACATGTGTCACAAAGCTCAAATCAAGGCCCAATGCAGCACTTCCATCCATCAAAAGAACTGTGCAACTAGGATCATGCTGGAACATGGCCAATGACTTCATCTGAAAAAGGAAAGTATATTAATTATACACAAAACGAAAAGAAAATTAACTGAAAGCACACAACAAACAAGAAAAAATATATAATTCGAGAGGGAAACATGTACCTTGTTGCTAGCATGCAATGGGCTATACATCCCAGCATATTTAATACCAGCAATCGCCAACTAACCAAAAAGTAAGAAATTCAAATCCCATTACTTGCACAGCCAGAATCATATAATGGAAAAAATCCATGAGATAGTATGGTATATATTACTCACCTGCTGTTCAATAACATGTATATGCTCAAGAAATTGAGAAAATACCAAAACTTTTTCCAAGTTTGTCTCTTGAGTCTTGGTGCTCATTTTAAAGTCGTGGATTTGCATTGATCCTTTTGAATCACTTATCTCAGACAGTATATTTTCAGTGTGCAAGGAATTATCATTGCAATCTGGAGGGCAAAAAAATTTTCTGTTAGCTTCCTGCAATGCTTTCAATTTCTCTACAATATAGGCGACTTTACTGCTAGATGTTGACTGCCAATCAGGATCCCAGTTATCCTACATAAAAACCAAAAACCCTACATCAGCAAAAATGGTAAAACACAAGAGACAAATAACAAGCTGAAAATAGTTCAACTTGTCTTGAGAGCCATGCTTGCCTGTTTATATGAGGGTTGTAGCTCAATAAGATCTTTAGGAACAGGCCATTTTGGATTGAGATTTTCTGGTCGAGCTAATTCATCAGGAGTTTGCATCTCATATAAATTGCCACAGCCAGGAAATGTACACCGTTCACTGTCCAAAGCAACACAATCGAGGCACAAAAGATGCCTACATGGCGTAATGACAGGTAACCGACACCATTCCTTGCACCTGATAAAATAAAAATGCAATCTCTAATCAGTAATCATATTTTATCTGCCCAAGGTGGGAGTGCGGGGGTTGTCAACAACAAATATTACCTCACACAGTTGCCGCCGTAAACAAGATAATATTTTATATAAGCATACTCCTCTGACATGGGATCTAGACCATTCTCAACTAGAATATCCATCGTTTCCTGAATATCTTCACCAGCTTCTGTTACTTTTATATGCCCAGCCACGCAGCACGATAGCCTGACATTTCCAATAGTTGCACTTCGAAACTTCCATTGCTTTGGATTCAAAAGACTCTCAACATGAGAAGGATCGTTCCAGTCAGCCATTAATATATTACGCCGCACTGTAACTACCAATTCGTTGTAACTTCTTGCATGTTCCTCGGTAAAATCAAGATAAGTAACTTTCTTGATGCAGGGTGGGATAGCCAGCAAATCTACCTTTCTTGCACTAATCATACACCTATGCAGTAAATGCAACAAACGTGATTGTCCTTCTTCCATCTTTGCTTCAAAAGGCCTAAGAATCCCAGCTTCCCATGATTTATGATTCTGCCCATAAGCTTCCTCGTGAAGGAACTTGAGCAATGGTTGAAGATGTGAGAGTTGACTGTTGGGTGTATTAGGAGTTGGAGTTCCAGTCAATATCCAACGGTTTGAAGCCATCAATGAAACTGCCATCTGCATTTTGTTTGTCAAGCTAAGACTTGAGCCAAGAGTGTGCCCCTCATCTAGCATGACTCTAAGCCAGTGCACTTGCATCATTGCACTTTTCTTCCGAAGGCCCCACTCTGCACTTAAACGGTTGAATGTGGTTATGACAACATCATAGTCCCAGGCCAGACTGTGTGCAGAAGGCTTCCTATTATCATTCCAAACGTAAACTCGTAGATGACCAGGCCTTACATGCTTCTGAATTTGAGTGTTCCAATGATCAACTAAATTTGATGGAACAACAATTAGGGTTGCCCTAGAAAGATATAGCCTGACTGAATCCAATGGTGAACAAAGAGCAATTCTGAGAGCAGCAACGTCAAAACTCATATTGTCAAGATTTCGTGGGTAAAACCACCTATTAACACCCTTTTCTACTCTTCTTTTGAGACCAAATGCTTGAAATATTTTTTGAAACCCATGGGCATCTTCACCAGGCGCCACGCAAGTGCTCATGAAAGGACTTCGCAAACCATTTGTCTCCATTGCCGAGAGCTTGTCAGGAGAAAGGTTAGTCAACCAAATTAAGGATTTCTTTGTTATGGAATTTATCAACGCATAATGCTCTTTAAGCACACTAACGAAGAAACGAACATTTTGTTCCTCTCCTCCAATGGTTCCTTTTGTGCAAAATCCCAGTAAATGTGTTATTGGAAGGCAATTATCCCAGGCTTCTTCAGGAACGCTACAACTTTGGTAGAAAGGATCAGCATTCATGCTACAAAACCATGCTTCACTAGCATCAGCAATACTAGCTGGAAGCTTCCGCCAC